CCCGTCTATTCAAAGAGCTTGAAAATGCCTTCAGTGTACCATATCCAAGGGATAAAAAGCACATTCCGGAATGGGTACAATATTGCTGGAATAGCAAAATCCCACTCCAAAATGCTGAAGTGCCATTCTGCAATAAAAGAAAGTTTTGAGTTTTGGTCTACATACAGTTAAACCCACCTGGCTTCTAAAAAGTAGAATGCCATTCTGGAATGACAGAATGGTATTCCACAATAAACGTATTCCGAAATGGGTACGTTTGCCTTGTTGTGCTTTTTTCCCCTTGATCTCATCCACAAGAAAAGTCGAGTAAGATATGGTTTATTGAAGCCCACCGCTAACTTTTTGGAAGCGGAGATGAAATAGAGAAATCAAGAAAATAGTTGAACTTGTAATAACCTGTTGAGAAAACTGTAGAACAGTGCTTCTGCTTATTATTCTTAATATTTATTGTGATTGAATCGTTTGAGTCAATGTGTGGGAGATGCTTTCTAGAGATTCGCATTGAACTTTGCTTTGATGTTTCTCAATGCTTGATAAGTTTTAGATAAAAAGAACATCACACGTTAGATGACACTTATAGATAGCCTAGTAGCTTAGGGAGCTCGCCTGGGTTTCTTTAAGATTTCCCAGATTGTAGAGGAAACGCTGAAATATATGTTCTGAAGCTTTTTCAGCTTACTGACATTATTTAACTGAGAAAAATATTAATTACTTAATAAATTCATGTTAAATAGCACAGGCTACTTTTAAAAACTTTTCTAGCTGTTCCTCTATTACCATAAAAATTTGGTTCTTCCCTAGATCGATAGATACATGTGTAGAGAACATTTTCTACGGAGACGAAAAAAGTTTGCACTTTCCTTTCTGCTAATAACTAATTATTGTCTGTTTAAAGAGTCAATGGACTCAGATACCTTTTGAACAACTTGTGAATGACGCAAGATATTAATGTGGAGTTTTCATTTTCTTATTCTTTTGAATCTTTGGAAGACTACTTTGTATCTCTCTACTATAGTAGCAGCCTATCTACCTTTTTTCATTGGTAGATAGTCCAAGATGTCTTCTACAGAACCGAATCTAAGCGATGTCTTATTTTTTTTGTTGTTTAGGCGTGGGATCGGATTTTTTGAAACTCCCAGAATCAACATCTCTTTAGATGTAGCAATCTCGTAAATGAAACATTGGTAATCGGCCACGTTGAATGTGGTGGCAACATTTGTTTCTCAAAAAAGCTTCAAAAATCCACTGAAAACCTGTATTATAGCCACCTTTTCAAAAACCAAAGTATTATATGTTGCTTTTTAAGACTTGTGTTGAATTACAAGATATAGTGTAGATAAAATAGAGTACTTCTTGATATTCAGGCAGAGTCTGAATCGTTTTTGAGGGAGTTATCAATGTTTTAATTTTGTCTTAAAAAATAGGCAGAAATGGGCTATCCACCTAATATAGGTTTTCACTGAGTTTTTGAAGCTTTTTTGAGAAACAAATGTTGCCTCGGCATTTAGCGCGGTCGATTATCAATGTTTCTAATCACTTTCGAGATTATTACATCTAAAGAGATGTTGATTCCGGGAGTCTCAAAAATTCAATCCCACGCCTAAACAACAAAAAAATAAGACATCGCTTAGATTCAGTTCTGTAGACGACATCTTACGAGGAACCACCCTAGGTGTACTCTCTCAATTTCAATGATTTGTACATAGATCAATAGACCTCAGTGAAGTAGTAAATATCCTAAAAGGATTCGTCCCCATGGTTCTTGAAGACCCATGACATGAAACCTTTTCTTAACAAGCCATGCTTGTAGCCCGCAAAATTCTGATTAAAATGAGATAACTCCAGCTCTTCACGATCTTTCTTTGCAAAGTTATAGAATCTACAAGAAAAGCCCTACACTAATTTCTTTTGATTTCTGCAGCTTCGAGCTGACCGTGAACATGTAAGGCTTTTCTTGTAGATTCTATAACTTTGCAAAGAAAGGTCGTGAAGAGCTGGGAGTTATTTCATTTTTAATTAGAATTTTGCGGGCTACAAGCATGGCTTGTTAAGAAAAGGTTTTGGTTATTTTTCAGAGTTTCTGAAAAACTGGTTGTCCAGAAAACGGGGCCTTCAAGAGTCAGGGGGACGAATCCTTTTAGGATATTTACTACTTCACTGAGGTCTATCGATCTATGTACAAATCATTGAAATTGAGAGAGTACACCTCGGGTGGTTCCCTCCCGTTAGACTATCTACCAATGAAAAAAGATAGATAGGTTGCTACTTTAGTTTTGAGGATACGAAGTAGTTTTCCAAAGATTCTGTAAAAGGCCAGTCTTCGAAATTTTTTCGAAACCAATTTTTGCTTTTGGAAACCTGGCATAAAGTCTTGGCTATCAGAAGTTGAGAACTCCTATCTTGCATCGTTCACAAGTTGTTTAACAGATATTTAAGTCGACTGACTTTTCAAACAGACAATAATTAGTTATTAGCAATTAACATTATTCAGTTTAGGCTATTGGCTGACACACCCATTTGCAAAATATCGACTCAACGAAAAAATTCAAACAATAGCTCATCTGATATGAAATTTCACGAGCTACAGGACAGACTATATTAAATGTTTTTGAGTTCGTCTACGAAGGTTCAATAAAGCAATCATAAATGTTCACGAATAACATCATTTTTTAAGTGATGAATTTTTTTTCTCAGACGAAAAAACTTCAGAACGTATACTTCGAAGTGTCCACTACAAACTGGGAAATCTTAACAAATCAAATCAAAATTAAAAAACTTGTTTAGAATGTCATTTTCTATGCGAGAAAACTTTGCTGACTCGAAATTTCTTAAACTCGATTGTGTAAACATACCTTAAAAACAACAAAAAAGAGTGTAATGATTTGTCTTATATGTGCGAGTGATATTGTGCCCGCTGATGTCCGAGTAGTGAAAATGCAATAACTTTTTCTACTAAATGGATACTTTTGAATTTTTTTTAATTTTATTTGTCTAACGTTTGCCCACTACCATCAAGAACTGCAGCTCTTTAGTTGCTTTTGTTACCTCTATACAACAGGTGCATTGTCGTAAGCCAAGGTTTTTAGTGCTCTCTGTCGTTGAAAAATGAATTTTTTTCTAAAATTGGAATTAGTTCTAGTTCTTTTTTTAAGAATTATTTGAAGCAGAAACTAACTCGCTCGAAATATATAAATGAATTAAACGGTTCAATTCATTTTTCTACGGAAATAAATTAAAATATTGTTGTTACCGACGCTTGGTCTGTTTCTGTCCGAAAACTAAAGGCAGTGCTTATCAAAGATCCTCAAAAGATATCCCACAGATTGAGAATCATTTTGATAAACAAAATAAAAGATCAGTGCTCTTCTACTGTAAAAAGTAACAATTACTTATTCTGAAAAGAAGCTTTACACACTAAATGTGCCATGAGATTTTCCATTTTGACTTTCTAATATCTCCATTAATACTCAATTTTTTGCAGTGATTCTTTTATCCGTTTTTCTCTTTGCTCATATGCCCCAAGTTGTGGCTTAAAATATTTTGTCGTACCTGAGAGAAATGTCCTGTGAGATGCAACGTATCATGGTTCATGATAAATATACTAACGACGGAACATTCCCAGGTGCCGCAATCCGATTTCGTCCGTTCATGTGCCGATCGATAGGTCCTATTGAGGTGTGAAAAAGCCTCAAAGGATATCTACCGGATTTGCTTCCTTCCAAAGTTACACCCGTTTTTCTGTTTTTCCCAGCGAAAAACGCACTACATTGAAAAATTCATAACTCAGTCAGTTTTTTCAATATCCGCTTGAAACTTTCATCGAAAACAGGTGATCTGGTCTAGTATTTATGCTGAAAGTTTCAGCCTTCAACTGTGTTTCCTTTCCGAGATACAGAATTTTTCGTTCTTCAAGCGATTTATCATTTTTGGATTTCCTTCAGTATTTTGGTAAAGTTCGTCTGGAAAGAGTTAAAGAAAAGTTTAAGAGAAAGGTCGTTTTGTGTTTGCTTTGTTTCTTGCTGCTTTATTCAGTTATTAAGTTTAACAATTTCACAATTTAAAAGTACTTTAAGTGGTAAGAAACCATGAGATCCGTTTACATGACTAAAATCAGCTGATTAAAAGAAAAGTGACAGTGTTCATGTAATTGGCACAGCAATCGCTTGAAGAACGAAAAATTCTGTATCTCGAAAAGGAAACACAGTTGAAGGCTGAAACTTTCAGCATAAATACTAGACCAGGTCACCTGTTTTCGATGAAAGTTTCAAGCGGATATTGAAAAAAACTGACTGAGGTATGAATTTTTCAATGTAGTGCGTTTTTCGCTGGGAAAAACAGAAAAACGGATGTAACTTTGGAAGGAAGCAAATCGGGCAGATATCCTTTGAGGCTTTTTCACACCTCAATAGGACCTATCGATCGGCACATGAACGGAAGAAATCGGATTCCGGCACTTGGGAATGTTCCCTCGTAAGTTTAACTTTATCGTAAATCATTTGATAAAGCTTGGCGGTATAAATCTAGTGATGTACGTCTGATGCCTTGTCACATAGTAGTCATTTTTTTGAAGATAAAGAACCTTGAATGCTACATAATCTCGGAAGTTTGTTTAAAAGAAGCTTTCACTACAGTATAACGCATTAAATCGCACATCGTTAGAGAGGCCTCGTCGAGATCTATCGATTGATGTATTAGAACAAAATTTTCAAGGCCGTTTTATGTTGTCTATATCACAATGGGCTCCGAGACTATTATACTTTTCGTAGCAAAAACCTGTTTTCTGAGAAAAATGAAAGTGGCAGTTGGGAAAATTAGTTTTTATCATTGCTTGGGCTATCACAATTTAGGGAAATAGTCAAAAAAGCCCACACAACGGTTTGTTTTTTACGGTTGTTCTTGAAAACAATACCAGTGCAAATCGCACATATATAAGAAAGATTGATTAAACATTGTTGATAACCAGCAGCAGTAACCGTAATCTTGTTTGTTAATCTTTTCAGATGGCAAGTTCACCGACTTCCAAAAAACAAAAAATAATCCAAAATATCCGTTATATTGCAGTTGATGAAGGTGAGAAACGGAAAGTTTTTTCTTGAAATTAATGCAAATAGTTGCGCATTTATTTAAGCAACTTAGCCAGTCTTCTGTTTTCAATTAGATAACTGAGTTGTAAAAAATCCATAAAGAAACGTAATAAATGCAAGACAGATTTTTTTGATTTGCTATGCGTACGTTCGAATCACCGACCTTTTAAAAGTGTTGCTTCATCCCTAAATTATTTGTTGTATATTATTTTTGCCTGATTGCCAGCTAACGTGAATAGAAGAATGACTTTTATAATTATGATCTACAACATTATTCTAAATTGATTTATGCTCTTTTATAGGTATATCAAAACTTCATTATTTTAAACTATCGAAAATCAGTGAAGATTTGAAAATTCACCAACAATTTGTACAATCACTATTATTAGTCGAGCATGTGATTGATAATGATAATTTGTGTTCTTATTATTCTTACATGTGTGATAAACAATTACATTCTGAAAATTTTTTTAATTTTGCTAAAGCAAAAGAAGTCATATTAACAACGAGATCATTTATCATTGATATTTGTAACCACTTAAATTTTGCAGTTGCCGATTTACCAAACGATTATAGTCACTTTGATGGATATAAGCACAGCACGAATTCATCGGCTGATGTCATAGAATTTGATCGTTCATTAATTCTTGGTTGTGATCCTAATTCATGTCGTCCAGTAGAAATTTTATTTTTATGGTTAAAAATTTTACATGAATTGGCACATGCAATCATATTCCAGTTTGGTCGTATACATTTACGAAGCGAAAAGAACCTTGATATAAAATATCAGATGCCAAAAACATATTGTCTGCAAAGTGAAGCCGGCGATGCTTTGGAGCGTATGTTAGTTGGATCATCAGTTGATGCTCCGGGCGTCACAACGAGTGGGAAATATTTTATTCAATATTTAATATTAAGTGATGGTAGACAGCCTGGAGTTATTCACAATTCTTGGATAGAAGAATTTGTGCTTAACGCTGTTAATATGGACATGTTGAAAACTATTGAATCCATCAAATTACCATCATTTGATTATTTAACAAAAACTACAAAGAAAAAATTAGAAAAAGGAAAAAGATCTAGAAGAAAATTAGTCTTTAGTAGTAGTAGTAGTGATAGTGATGACGAAGATGTTCACTCAAATAGGATTGTGAAATCATAAATTTATGTATAAATATATATATGATGTTTTTTCTAATGGTCTACACGAAATTATGTAAATAATAAATGTTATGTTGCTTGATCTCAATCAACAGTAAAGAAGCAAAAGCACTGGAGAAATTAAATGAAATTAAGGATAAACTAGATGTATCTGGTTTTAATTGCAAAATGAATACCTTAAAAATATAGAATGATCGCATATGGGTCTGTGTTCATGTATTCACGTTCTTATTAAAGACACATTTTAGCAAACCGACTTATAACTTTTCATTGTTAAACGCCCTTCTTCTACAAAGTTTTCTTTCTCATATACAAAAAAGATTTCTCTATTATTTTGTCCGCTGATTTCAATAGTCGTCAGAGATAGAAGAAGGTACTAAGTCTGTCCCGAGATCTTTATAGCTATGAAAACGTTATACTGATAGATGACTCCTTTTAGTTTTTTACTCCTTTTACTACTTATAGTCTTTTACTCCTTTCTTTTTAAAAAATTTACGCGAGTACGAGGATTTAAACCTCGATACTGTCTCATCGTAGGCAGTGATTTTGACCATTGTGCTATCAGCGCTCTCTGATAAATAAATACATTTTGCACTGTAGGCTCATACAGAAAAAAACGTCTAAAAAAGCGGTCAAAGCGGCTAATGGCTATGTAAAAGACCGCTGTAGTCGCCTGAATTTGTTTCAAAATAACCGCTTTGCCCGCAAAAAATCGTGGTCAACGACCGCGTAAAAAAAACCGCCCACAGCCGGGTTTTTTTACGGTGAAAAAGCCTCCGCCAGCCGCAATTTTTTTGTTAAAAATCCACGGGTTTTCTAATACAGTATTCATCTAAAAAACCGCTTGAAACATCCGAATTTGTTCCAAAATAGCCGCTTTTGATACAATTCTAGATTTGTTCTACATATGTTATGCACTTTTTTTATTAATTGTATAATAAAATAAATAGCAAAAAACACACAAACAAATAGAATAAGAAAGTAAAAAAAGCTTTAACAACGATCAGAATATCGAAAGCTTACAATTGTTTTAGCATTAGTGATTGTGTTAAACAAAATGAAACAACGCCACATTATACTACATTTAATTATGAAAATATATTAGGAATATTAAATCGTTTAACACATGGTACAAATGGACATGTACAACAGATAATAACTCATTTAAAATTTCGTTACGTTTAGTTCATTCAAAATATTATCCTAAACAACTTTATGATTTTGTATTAAATTTAGTTAAACATCACCGTGAAGCACCACAAACATTTGACAAAGTAACAACAACTCAAGGACGAACATATTTAGTTCCAAAAAAGTCACTGAAGATCAATAATGATAAAATCACAAATATTATTCAAAATTATATTAATTCAACAAGATTTTCAGTTAAACAATGTGCATATTCATCATCAACACAATTTAGATCAAAAGAATATTGTAAAAAATTAAAAACTGATGATTCGTGCATATTATATGAATCAGTTACTCGAGAAACAAATATTGGATTTATGGAAGCTATTTTTGTTATTGACGCACAAATATTTTTTTTATTATCAAATGTGAAAATAGTAAAAAGTGATATTAAAAATGTCTATGTGCGCAGCAATCTCAACAGACATACAATCATATCACCATTAACAATGATAGAAGAGCGCCCTTAGTTCCTCACCCTCGCTCTTCTACGTATGTTTCAGACGTGAGTGCTCGTTCTCAATGAATATTCAGAACCGCACAATAGTTAATCTTCATACTTTGACTGTATACTCTGCAGTCGTCGAAGAGTATTTGCTGTGAGTCTCAATTCGAATTGATGTTCCTAGAATGAGTTATGAATTTCTCTTAGAAAGAACCTCATATCTCAGAATCTCATTTTCAGGATCCTCGCCCGTACAATAGCTGTATTTCACTGACTGCTAAGAGCCAACTCACAAAATATTATATTATAGATAGAATAGAGTTGTGGCTATATTTTAGTAAGAAGAAAAAGTCTGATACAATATTTCTAATATACTTTTATTCATACAATATTATAAAATTAAATAGCTAAACGTTTGTGGTGATACGTACGTTGGGGAGACTATATCATTTAAACAGAGGATGGTACAACATCAAAAGAAAATAAAGATGAAAGATTCTGAAAACTCCGAATTAGCAAAACATTTTGAAAATGGAAACGCATGTGATATCAACTTCGAAGACAGTGTAGTTTATGATAAAGAGAAAAATGTATTTAGGAGAATGGAATCAATCAATTTATGAGATGGAAGATCCACTTTGATCTGGTTTTTCGATGTGACTTTTTCTTGGTTAGAGTTTGATATGTCACTTGACTAGTTTATTTTTATGTTTTCACTTCATTCATCTCTTGTTTCGTTTCATTTTGATTGTTCGTTTTAGTTTTTCGTCATACGTAAGGTCATACATGAGAAAAAGGAAAATAAGAAGTAGACGGAAAGAAAAGAGAGAGAGAAAAATATATAGTTAGAAACAAATTGTTCGTCAACGACCATAACTGTGGATTTAACATCTAACTACAGACGTGTATTTTTGATTTCAATGTAAAAATCTTTTAAAATTTGTTGCTACTGATGAAGACGTTGGTAAACGTCGAAACGTTTAGCTATTTAATTTTATAATATTGTACGAATAAAAGTATGTTAAAAATATTGTATCAAACATTGTGCTGTATTCGTATTAAAATAATCCAATAACCTTTGTAAATAAGAAGAAAAAGTTTTCATCTCCCTTAGGTCAGGAGTTATTGATATTTTTTTACGGGAAAGACAGAAACCGCTTATATCTCACGTCACAATTAGTCAGCAAATCGATTTCTACATGCCTCACTCTTAACGTTCAGTAGTAGAAGTAGTCTTTTTTGAAAAGAGGTGAAATAAAGAGCAGTGTACAAAATATACTTCATATCTTACACACACGGCACAGAGTCAAGGACTTGGAATTTTAGAAGTCCTCACCGTTCGTGAAGTTGTGATTGAAAGCTCGAGTGTTTAAAATAAATTCAGAAGGATTTTATTAAAATGTTGTTCATAGCAGTATTATATTTTATGTTTAAAACTTTATTTACAACTACTCATTCCAATAAGTTTTTTAAAATATCTTCTCATTTCTATATACCTATTCTGTTTACATATTGCGTAGTCAATCACATGCATATGTGGGACATATTACATGGTCATATATGTGGGGTAGTTATACACATATCACATCGTCAAACCAGCGCTTGAATTTAAGAAAGAAATTATGTCTTATTATAATTAGATCTTATTTTGTTTCAGAATTAAGTTATCATAGTGTATTTTAAATAATGGCTATTTCAAAACCGTGTGTTGACATCAGTACTCTTCCAAGCGATGTGTTGACGTATGCCAATGACAAATTTATTCGTCTTGTTGAACAATTAGTTGGTGAAGATATTGCCGAATTATTTAATGTCCAAGCAATACACAATATTCCGTGTTTGCTGAAAACAACTTCAGACGTATTTGAAATTTTGAAACTCGACTGTCCGGATATTGAGAACATTCGTGATAAATTATCATTCAAGTTGACTGATGGTACATTTATAGTAAAACCTGGTTATCGGAGCAGTGTTTCCTATGTGACTGAAGTATTTCGTAATAAATTTGACGATCATTTGAAGCAGCTCAGAGCTAAATCAAGAAGTGTTACTGTATCATCTCAACTTCAATTACCATTACCATTCACTCAAGTATCTTCTTCTTCTTCTAATCAATTAGCGGTATCTTCTATTCAATTACTCTCATCGTCGTCAACGAGTCCAATCGTACCACCTTCAACAACCATTACTGAACATGAACATCGTAATCAGACCATTAAAACGATAGGTACATGGTGTGAGAGAGAAAAAGAATCGCTAGCTTTGGATGAATTGTCTTTATCAATTGTTGATGATTATAAACTCTACATAAATAACGATACCGAGAATTTGGAAGCATCAATCCGTTGTAATTGTGGTGTTAAACTAAACTTATTTAAACTTAAGAACCGAACATTTTTTCAGTTATCTAATTTTTATGCTCATCTAAAAAGTAAAAAATGTTCGATGATGAAACAAAAGAAAAACGACGATAAGAAGAAGAAAAGCCAAGACGATAGTGCAAGTAAAGAAGAGAAAGTAGAAGAAGAAGAGGCCAGTGATGGTAATATTGCTTCTGTTGCTGATACCACAAGCTCGAAAGCACCAGAAACAGTAGTTAAAAATCAGAAGAAACGTCCCTTATCTCAAGTAGTCTCATCTTCACTTCGAGTAAAACGAACTCGTAGAAGATAAACGAGAAAGCTTTCTTTTATTGTGCTATACGGTTGTATTTTTATGCGAAATATCGATATTGTTGAATTCAATTTTTTAATGTGTAATAATCGAGAAGGTATTCTGTATTTTATAGAAAGATTTTTATTTAACTCAAATGTCATTGTGAAAGAGAAGAATATTATTTTATTTATAAACTAGGCTTTTGTATTCGTTTATTTTTAGACGGGGATTTTAGAAATGTTTGCACAGATAGGAAGAAGAGAGATATTTCATTCTTGTATCAAGACATGTCCGCGTTTCTGAATTCTTTCTTCTCAAGAGTGAACCTACTGACTTTGGCGTCTCTGTAAATTACAGACGAATTAGTCTTAATGAATTATGACTTTCAGTTAACCGTTGTCGGGGTAAATATTCACTATGTGTTGTACCAAATAGTCGAATACTATAGTAATAATAACGATATGCTTGCAAAACCCAATCGTCCACTTCA